GGGGGCTGCTTAGTACAGCCAATGGTTTAGTCTGGTCAGTGGTCTCCACGTCCTCACAAAGTAAGAAAATAGACAGGAGGCCAAGCGGTAGGCCTATCCTGGCGCCTTGATGGAAATTAAAACACAGGCAGCGTTTACACAGACAGTAATCTGCCTCTAAGCCATGGCAGGGACACAAGTGACACGTAAAAAGAAAAAGAATCTCATTGCGAGTCATAAAACGCTGGTTCCGAATTTGGCATTATGTTTACGATAGAACGTAAGGTTTATTTTAGACGAAAATTTCATCGTTAGCGTGCCGCAGCCGTAACAGACTGCCTGGCCACTGGAAAAGGTCTGCTTCCCGTGATTGATAAAATTAATTTCTGTTCATAAATGTATTCTCCGGCTGGAGATACGGATTACCGCTGGCTACATTGTGTGATCAGTGACAAAATTATGTGCACTATCAATAGTTTGGCGTGAATTAACGTGGCAGAAGTCTCCCCATGTCTGAGGCCTCCGCGCTATCCGCTAATAAATATAGTTCGTCTCTCAATGTCTAATGATGACCAGTGCATCCGCAGAGAAGAAGAATACTTCTCAAACGAAAAAGAAAATTAAAGGTTAAATTCTGTCAGAAATAAGTTTGCTACATTTTCAGCATTCAAAAGCTTCACTTCCACTACCGAATGTGCGTGGCTTTCGGGGTTCTTTCAGGGTTTCAACATTTCTTATTCTTGAAGCCTCTGACTTGCTGCCCACCGTGATTGTTTCTCTCTAAATAGGCGGCGTTAGGCTCTCACATACAAAAGGATTTATGTTGAAGTCCTTCAAAGACAAATTCATGGTGTCTATGATGCGCTTTAATTGCTTCTATTGGGATGCACAATTTACCACAAAATCGGGTCACGTCAAATAGGGTGGGTCTTTTATCCCATGTTGCCCCAAGGCCCGTTTAAACGTAACGATAGACAAAAGATGGACGGTCTATCGCTCATACGTCAAAATTGCTTTAAAATTAGACGAATTTGATGATACATGTATCTTGTTATATCGCTGTGTGTAACGGAGTTTTAGCCTGTATCTCGTTCATAGAACATGAAACGGAACGATCCTTTTTGCTCTCGAAACGTGACAGAAGGTACCATGGCAGCGTTAGGTCCTATTCTTTTGCAACTGAAAAACAAAATACCATCCTGGACTGTACGCGAAGTCCTGGACCTATGAAGGCCTGATTACATAATTCTGATGGCACTGACCTTTTCATTTTTCTTTAGAAGAAAGCACACAAAATCTAAACGAAGGTGCATTTATGTATGTTCTGTATTTAATCTTTTCATGTTTTATATTTATACATTTGTATATATATATATTATATATATCTATATCTATATCTATATCTATATCTATATCTATA